CCGCTCGTGGGCTCGCGACTGCGGTCTCCGAGGACGTCGTGGCCTGACCTTCCCGAGGCTGCGTCCCAGCTGCGCGCTTGGGGCCCGCCCGCCGCCCGGTGGGACTCACAGCCCTGGAATCCGGGGGATGAACCTGCTGGCGAGGTTCGCCGACACCTGCCCCACCCTCCACAGGGGACCTCCCAGCGCTGAGCTCCCCAAGTCGGCAGGTTAGGACCTTACATCGGAGCACTTCCTTCCCTCTTGGATGGAGCGCCGCCTCTCCAGTTTTGGGGGCACCTTGGGTGGCCTCGGTGAGTGAAACTGGGTGTGCTGTTTGCTGGGAAGAAACCCGGAAACAGGGAGGACGCTGTCGGGTGACGGAGGCCTGGTCGGGTCCTGAGACTTGGAAGTCGTGTGTGGGGCGGTGAACGCACTCACCCAGCAGTGCCAGGACGCGGCCTCAGGACTTGGGGTTCATTGCACATTCCAACCATGTTCCTGCGACGGCTGGGTGGCTGGCTACCTGGCCCTTGGAGCCGCCGGAAACCCAGGCCTGACCCGCCCACCCCAGAACCCAGACGGCTGGATAGCTCCTCTGAAAACTCAGGGAGCGACTGGGACAGCGCCCCAGAAACCATGGGCGATGTGGGGCCTTCCCAGAGGAAGGACTCAGGGGCCCGGAGTCGTTCTGGGACTGCTCCCCAACCAAGCAGGGAGCCCCAAGTTGAGCAACTGGGGAGCAAAAGGATGGATTCCCTCAAGGGGGACAAGACTGGTGCTGGCATTCAAGAGTCTGGGAGACGGGAGGCGGCAGAGGCCATTCCCCATCTGGGATGGGGCCCTGTGGACTCAGGTGGCACCAGATCTGAAGTGCCTCCTGAAGGGGGACTGAGCCCCCCTGGGCCTGCAGCGCCAGTGGAGAAGCCTGGCCGCCGTCAGAAGCTGCTGGGCTGGCTGCGGGGGGAACCAGGTGGGGGAGCAGGGGCTCCCTCGCAGTACCTGGAGGGCCCAGAGGAGTGTCTGCAGATCTCCACCAACCTGACTCTGCACTTGCTGGAGCTGCTGGCCTCGGCCCTGCTGGGACTGTGTTCACGGCCCCTGCGGGCAGCCCTGGACATGCTGGGCCTGAGCGGGCCTCTGGGCCTCTGGCTGCATGGGCTGCTGTCCTTCCTGGCCGCCCTGCACGGGCTCCATGCCGTGCTGAGCCTACTTACTGCTCACCCCCTGCACTTCGCCTGCCTCTTTGGTCTCCTACAGGCTCTGGTGCTGGCTGTCAGCCTCCGGGAGCCAAGTGGGGATGAGGACGCCACTGACTTGGAGGGTGATAAGTTGGGGAGGGAGGGGGAGGAGCAGAGGGGAGACCCAGGAAAGGGGCTGTGACCTCAGAGTGGGTGTGACCAGGCCCCCCTCCCCCTCAATGGGGTGGGAGCAAGGGTGAAGACAGTGTGGCCTTTAGGGGAGTAGGGGGGGATGACCCAGATTGTAAGCACAGGGACCTCAGGGATGAGGAGGAAACCCCAGAGTATGAGGGTACCCACCCACCCAGGGAGAGAACAGCCGTTCAGGGCGTCTGGGTTTATGGACAGTGGGGGCGTATCCCTTGAATTCACCAGCTGTTGTTACTTTTTGATTTTATATTTCTCCTACCTTCAAGTTTTTTTCCTCATCTTCACGTTTTAACCCCTTCCCCGGCAGAAACGTGTATACACGTTTTCACAAAATGTTCTTTTTTCAGTCGTCGACGAGTATACTCGTCTAAAACTTTACCTTCAAAAACCAGCTACATACGTACCATTCTAAATAATTTCATCTAGAAACTTTCTGAGGAAATACTATTCTTAACCACAAAAATGGGAAGAAAAAATAATTACAAACTGTTTTCATAACCAGCATCAAAAATACTATATAGAATCAAAATAAAAAAATTAGTCTGAAAAAGAAACGTTTTTAACAAAAAAATTGTTGGGGAAGGGGTTAAAAGCCAAAAAATATTTTTTTTAATGTTGTGGTGGAGAATAAAGACTAACTGGCCCTCTCTACCTTTCAAGACTCCCCAGGGACAGACAGAACTCTGGCTGGGGTGAGAGCGTGGTTGGGAGACCCAAGGGGTCCCTTGGATCTTGGGACATCTAGGGTAGAATGGGGCTGCTAGGTGGGTGGATTTGGGGACTGGATGGGGCGCACAGGCAACAGGGAGCCTGCAGGGATGAAGTGGGTGTTTCTGGGAGTCAGACGGAGTGGGGATGGTGTAGGTGGTACTGGCCGGAGGGGTGGGTCAGGGGCAGGCGGTCCTTGCAGGGATTAGGGGTTGCTCACTCAGCAATAAATCACTGTCACAGCGAATCCTAAATATACCACTAAAATGAGTTAACTGCCATGCAGTGTCCTTCCTGATGCCGCCCAGCTAGGGGTTCAGGTAGTAGGAAGTTCAGGGGGAGTTTTGAAATGGGAGTGGGATTGATGTCTGGAGAAAAACCCCAACATGTGATGAGGATTGAAAAATCGTCTTTATTACTCCTTAGAAGGGCACCTCCGGCTTCTCTTCACCACAATCTCAGTCCCACCAAACACATCTGGGGGCACAGATGAAGCCACAGGTCAGTCACTGGACTGCTTGCAGGCCTCTGGTCGGAGGAGGGAGAAAAGAAGAGGATGGGAAGGAAGGAAATCCAGGAAGAGATGCAAGCTTGCTGGTAATGGGTGGGGGAGAATGCATTCCCTCATTCCTCCCCTATCAAAGGGGCCTCTGCGGCCTATTTCCCTCTGTGTCTGACTCTCCCCCCTGCATTTACTGCAAACTCAGAAACCTCTCTTGAGTAGCCCACAGCCTGTCCAGGCTTCCTCTGGTGCCATCACAACCTCTAACACAAATGGGGGACATGAACACAGCCACTCTGATAGTATCAGCCTTTGGTCCTGCCCTCTGGTGACATCACTTGAGTCCCTTTCCTCCAGCACCTGCAGCAGACGTGGTGAGTCCTCGTTCTCGTCGGTGGGACTTTGTCCCCTTACCTCGTTTCCTGGGCGTCAGTAAGAAGGCCTTGGAGTCCAGGCAGGAGGTCAGGGACTGGAACTCCTCCACACACTTCTCAGGAGGGTATGGTGAGCGGTCTGAAAGGGCACAGCAGGGCCAGGCCCACAGCACCTCTACTTAGCGAGACCCCTGGGGAGGACCTGGAAGCACCCAGCCCTTCCGGGGATGCTATCACAGGGTCCAGTGCGGGGCTCCCCTGCCTCCTGGTTTCCGTCCAGCCCGTCCTGCCTCGCCACCTCACTCACTGTAGAGCAGGAAGCGCTGGTAGCCCTGGCCCGTCTCCTTCAGCATGATCCCACCTGGGCAGGAGCTGGAGAAGAGCTCGGTCTTCATGTCGGGGCGCCCTGTCAGGATGGGTTGGGGGCAAGTGTGAGGACAGAGATGCAAAACGAGCCAGCCAGGGGACTTGGAGAGAGGGAGGGCTGGAGAGAACCAACCTTCAGTTCTGAGGTCTGTGCTCCCTTCAGTCAGGTGGTAGATCCATTCCCGGGGCACACAGGACCCAGTTTTCCTGCAGAGGTGGTGGTGGCGAGAAAGAAAGATTGAATGACACCCCAACCACACAGTACCAACCTTTATTTATTCCCTTTTATTCCTTCTTGAAGCCTGGGTCACCGTGGGTTTCAAGCTACCAAGGGTTAGGCCCATCTGTCTCCAGATGAAAACTGACAGAACCGTCGAACTCAGTGGGCCAAGAACAGTGGATATGCCAGTGAGCCCAGCTCTTTGTGGGTCGGTGCTCACACTTTGGGCAGAGACTGTACCTGTTGGTACCTCTGCCTCCTCACCACTTACGTGCGAATGGTAGCACGAAGCTGGAGCTGTGTGGGGGCAGAGCCCGCAGCCATGTTGAAGACAATGTTGTCCACAGGGTCAAAAGTCGCCAACTCCTCCTTGGTGGGAGCTGCCCCTGCGATAAAATGCCACTGGCCCAGGTGGGGCTCTGGAAACTGGAGAGACAACAAGGGGAGCAAGAGAGGGTGTGTCCCACTGCAGGTCCCTCCAACCTGCCAGGACAGCAAGACTTCGTGTGGAGGTATCGGCTGCCTTTTTCCAACTAGACTTGGATCCACGACAGGGAGTCATTAAATGACTTTTCCTCTTTTCCTGCCCTCAGTAACCCGAGTACCCCTCCAACCCCAAATGCTACCATGTCTCCACATTGATGGCCGAAGTACTAATATATTTTTACTTCTCCTTGTTTTTATCCTCACAATATTCACACCCTCTTCCTCCCTTCCTTTCACAATGTAGCTTCTGGTCACTCTAGGCCACCCACTCAAGTCCCTCAGAGCCCCCACTGTAAGTTTCCCCCCATTCTCAGTCCGTACCTCTTTCCCGTCCACATCCTGAGTTGTCAGGTGACTGGGCTCAGGGCACTGGTAGATGGAATTAAGGAGAAGGCCATAGAGGTAAAGCAGAGCCGCCCAAATTTGGTGGAACATCTTCAGGCAACAGGGAGCTGGTGTGTTCCTCGTGGAGTGGCTGGTGCCTTCACTATTCTCTTCCCCACGGGCTGGCCAGTCCACTCTGCTTCCAGCCCCTTTGCCTTGACCCTTGACCCTTTACCTGCTAATGAGTAACTTCAACCTTGCTTTCCAAACATTGATTACTTAGTGTTTGCCCCTTCCTCCCCCTCTGCTAGATGCAGTCACTCTACCACACACCCTGGCATGTCCAGGGTCTTTGGGGAATTATCAGAAGGGCTGAGCCCTGCAGGCAGAGAGTGGTCTTTATCTGAGCTGGATATCTGCTGTGTTGTGCAGCATTGGAGAGGTGGATTCATTCATTCACTTAGCAAACTTTTTATTAAGTCTCAGCTGTTTGCCAGGAATTGGCTAAGCCCTGGGGACATAAAAATGAATAAGGCATAGTCGCTGGCCTTGAAGAAGTCTAAGGAGAACTAGCTGTGTGAACAAATCATTGTAATACAACCTGATCAGTGCTTTCGGACAGGTATGAACCAGGTTCTGGGGCATGCCTGATGGGTGGCTTTCTCTCTGGTTTATAATTGGGGAAATAATATGTACACCATCCAGAAAAGCTCACTGACACAGTTCATTCCATGTTTATTACTATAAGAAACTACATAAGCGAGTGGTTAAGGGGGACAGATAGACACTGGTGCTGGGCAGAGTGGGTTCAAGCCCCAACTCTATTTATTAATCTCTATGCCTGTTTTTTCATCTTTAAAATGAGCAAATCATCCATCTCAGTGGATTAAGAGATAGTGCATATAAAGCCCTTTGCAAAGCCTATTCCTGGCCAGTACAAAGTAAATATTCGCTGAAGTAATGCTTGTAAAGTGATCATTAGCTTCTGGTGGGTAATACAGTCCCAAATAATAGTACCAAAAGGGTTGAGCAGTTAATGCAATGAAATGTGGGACTTTCTTAATTATAACTTATAGACTGCCAAAAAAAAAAAAAAGGTTTGTCCGGAGAGGTGAGGCTTGAGATTTGGGGTATCTGAAGGCTCAGTATGCTATTTTCTTTTGGGGTAATGTTTGACATTTTTTATTTAAAAATATTAAAAAATGTACTGGGGCAGTAAAGCAGTGCTTGACGCAGGGAGTCCGGTAGGCCTGCATCTGTCAGTTCCCTAGCTGTACTCACTGCATACGGGGATGTAATAACTATCTCCTGTTGAATGACTTATAAACGTGACTGTACGTGGAACCCTGGACTGAAACAGTAGTGGGACCCGGGTATAAACCAAGAACCGCAGAAGGGCCGAGCCGGGGGCGAAGGCGGCGGAGCCGTCATCCCGGACCTCGGCCTGCAGAAACCCTGTGGCGGCCCCTCAATTCCCCACGGCGGGAATCTGGTGTTTCGGTCCGGTCGGACTTCGTTTGCTCTCAACTCCCAACCTCGGAGGTGCCGTTTTTGGGGGACAAAAGTCCTGAGTGGTAGTAAACGGTTAGCTTCTGAAAAACAGCGTGTTCGCTCGGCCGCGCACCGCCGGTGAGAAACACGGCACCCGCACTCCGCAAAACGCCCACCGGACGGAACCGAAATTAGGCCCAACGACACGACCGGACGAAAGACAGCTCGCGAGCCAGCCTCAACCGCCCAGCACAGGGTGGCTTCCGGAGCCGCCGCAGGAGTGGCGCGGCGAGGGCGAGGACAGGACGGGATTTTAGGTGGCCAGGACAGTGCCGCCTCAAAGTCTCTGCCGGCCAAGACCTTAACACAGATTAACGAGGCACAATCTCTAGTCCCCAAACTCCAACACCTATATCACCGTCCAGAGCTTCTCGAGGCAGTCATAGAGTCTCATCTGGAAATCCTTTTCCAGGCATTTACAGTGGCCACCTCAATCTCCTCTGGCTCCAGCGCGCGCACGGAAGAAAGGAACGGCGCCAGCGAGGGTGGGGCGGTGCCTGTGTGTACGCATGCGTAATGCGACGCACGCAGACGCAGTACGGTCCCCCGGGCGACGGCGGCGGCTCCTCGGGGTGCTCGGCTCCCTCCCATCTAGGCCGGCCCCGGCCCGTCTCGCCCTCAGGAACTCACTGTTTGGGGCCGTGGACTTTCTTGTCGTGCCCCACGAAAGTGAAGCTTGGGGACCTGAGGGGAGCCGGAAGTTCCGCCTCGCGATCTCCAAATATTATCGGGGAAACGGAAGTGGCCGTCGGTGGCAGGTTGGAGGTGACCGGAAGTGACGGCACCGTGGGGAAGTCGGGGGTGGGTCCGCGGGGTGCTGTGTGTATTTGATGTGTGTTGGTTGCGACGCTCTGCTGGAACTCCGAAAGAAGGCGGAAGAGGGGGGCAGTCAGCTAACCGGTCTGGCCCCCCGTGAGTGTCCGTCATTTTGGGTCTGTCGTGAGTTAGGCGGGCTCCGTGGGCGTGGCGCGCCTGCGCGAAACCACTTTCTTCGCAGAGTGTAATGCGACCCCCCCCCCCCCTTCTCGCGTTGTCCCAGCGTTTCTGGGCCCTTCGCAACCGGTGATGACACTGGAATCCTGCTTCCTTGCTTCCCTGCTCCCTAGCCCGAGTATCCCACTCTTGGGATTGGCATCGTGGGGTCCCTCCCACCTCCTGTCCTCCAGCTTCCTTTGGCGTCGTCTCCTACCCTTTGCATTTCTTTCCCTCTGCCCCGGAATCAGAAGGGGGATGGGGTGGGTGTGAGTGTGTGCTCGTGTGGGAGAAATGTAGGCACTGGGGCGGAGACTCGGGCCGGGAGGCTTCTGGGTATATAAAATCCGCTCTGGGCGACAGCGGGCCTCTCTCCCTCTGTTCTTCCGTAGAGAGCTGTAGGCCATGGAGCCCAATAACAGTACCAGTACCACCATGGAGGAGCCTGACAGCCTGGAGGTGCTGGTGAAGACCCTGGACTCTCAGACCCGGACCTTCATTGTGGGGGCCCAGGTGAGACCCCAGTACTTCTGGAAGACATCCATTAACTTTTCCTCTTGTAGGCCCTTTAACCTGAGAGAACAGCCTGATTTTCCGGTCCTCAACTTCTCTTCCATTGATTTCTTTGTTCATATTCTAGGCAGGACATTTTTTGATGTGTCTTGTTGAGGAAGAAACTAGGGTTTCTGTTGAACAAGCTAGGTTTTGCTTTGCCTTCCTCCACCTCAATAAAACTCAATGCAGAAGGAAATGTGGAGGAAGGAGGAGGCTGTATGCCATCATCACGAGTGAATTGCAGCTCAGAGGGTTAGCCATGGCTCCGGCCTTTGGGAAGGAAAATAGAACACACAGACTCCAAACGCAAGTGTGTCTTGGAAACAAATTGGTTAGGTCTATACTGAGTTTTTAAAGGTGAGAAATCAGAGCCCATAATGCAGGTAGAGGCCTAATAGAGTGTTGAGTGGAGTTACTGATATGTGTGGTATAATTTTAATCATTTGAGTTTATCAGCATTGGCACAACTATCAATGTCATTGCGCCTGTAATACTGGGAGACAAAATTGTGAGGGGTTGGCCCATGGTTTTTAAAACGTGACAATATATGTATTTCAGAAAACCATATAGGCTTTTGTGATTAGATGTGTGTAAACACCTGAATCTTCCCAAGAGGAAGTTGTCTGGTTAGGAAAAATAGTCGTCTTTTTGTTCCCTTCTCTCCTTCTTGGTTGAGCCTTCCTTCCTTAACCTGATTGTCCACCCCATCTTCGTCATCGCTTTTATCTTTGAGCCTAGAGTTGTATCATTTTGTGTTTGGGGAGCCGTATCTTTAGACACATTCCCTTGTGAGCCAGGCAGAGGAGTGAACAGATTATCAGTTGGCTTTTCTGTTTCTCAGCCATGTAATTTTCTCCTAGGCCTAGAAGACACAGTTTATTGTCAGTATTTTGACAGGGAATTGTCTTAGTTTGGGGCTTTGCACATCATTACCTCACAATCAAGAGAAATGGGTAGTGATTTTATAATGAGGTGGTTTTTACCCCGCACCCCTACAAGTCAGTTGTCCCTCCTCTGTCCTTCCTCTTCCTCCGTTCCCTGACACCTGTTTGTCCCTTCTGTGCAGATGAATGTAAAGGAATTTAAGGAGCACATTGCTGCCTCTGTCAGCATCCCCTCTGAGAAACAACGGCTCATCTATCAGGGACGAGTTCTGCAGGATGATAAGAAGCTCCAGGAATACAGTAAGGGGGTGTGGGAGGCAGTTCGGAGTTTGAGGCAGCTGTGAAGAGGGGTGAGCTGAAATTTTTTTTTTTTTCTTTCTTTTTTGCAGATGTTGGGGGCAAGGTTATCCACCTGGTAGAACGTGCACCTCCTCAGACTCAGCTCCCTTCTGGGGCATCTTCTGGGACAGGGTCTGCCTCAGCCACCCATGGTGGGGGTCCCCCACTTGGTACTCGGGGGCCTGGGGCCTCTGTTCATGACCGGAATGCCAACAGCTATGTCATGGTTGGAACCTTCAATCTTCCTGTAAGCTTGTGTTCCACCTGGGGTGGTTTTTGTGGTGAAGGATAGTGTTGGTTGTGGTCCAGCCAAGAGCTCAGTACTTAGATTGGGTTTGGAGGGCCCTGTGGTCTACGAATGGCCTCAGACATGAGAAAAGGGGTGTGTCTCCAGAGAACGAATTGGAAATGTGGGAGCCTTAACATTTGGCTTCTCCCAGAGCAACTTCCCTTACCCTTTCCCCAGAGTGACGGCTCTGCTGTGGATGTTCACATCAACATGGAGCAGGCCCCAGTGCAGGTATTACGGGGCCTGGGAGGGTCAGGGAAGGGGATCTGGGAGAAGGAGGCCGTGAGGTGGGATCGGACTTGGCTGAGGAGATGCTGGGACCTGGTTCGGTGGGCTCTGGAGCTCGTGGCTGTATTTCAGACTTGCCCTAACTCTCCCTCTCTTGTCATAGAGTGAACCCCGGGTACGACTGGTGATGGCTCAGCACATGATCAGGGATATACAGACCTTACTATCCCGGATGGAGGTAAGTGGTCTGTCACTCTCTCCCCATCCTCCCTACCCCTTGTCTCAGCCTGGGAGTGAAAGCATGACTGGCTGGTTCATTTCATATTTTTGTTTTTTTCCTTTTCTTTTTTTTGGCTGCTTCCTTTCTAATCTGGTCTCTTCTCCAGTCTTCTTTCTTTGGGCAGAAAAAAGTATCTATGTGAGGCTATCTTGTTCCTGCCAATCCTCTCTGTGACTGGTGTCTGGGAAGTTTGTTTTATACTTGTCAGATA